AGTAGTTAGTAGAAGTAGTTAGTAGAAGTAGTTAGTAGAAGTAGTTAGTAGAAGCAGTTAGTAGAAGTAGTTAGTAGAAGTAGTAGTAGTAGTAGTATCATTAGTAGTAGTAGTAGTTTGTAGTAGTAGTTTGTAGTAGTAGTATAAGTAGTAAGTAGTATAAGTAGTAAGTAGTAAGTAGTATAGATAGTAAGTAGTAAGTAGTAGTATAAGTAGTAGTACTAGTAGTAGTAGTAGTAGTTGTTGTTGTTGTTGTACTTTTTGGGGGAGCGATCGAGCGAACCAGACTGGCGAAGCTGAAACAGCTGCCAGAAGTCACCTGGTTTCAGCCAGGCTTGTCTTGGCTTCTAACAGAACCAGGACAGGACCATGTGCGGGGGCAAAAGGATAGTCTTTGGAGCCCAAAGAAACATTGGCTAATCAAAAGTGGCGGGTGATCTAAAACTGCTTTCATGGGATTTCTATCGCTTCGATGATCTTCGATGGGAACTTTGACCAAACCACAAGCAAGTAGCAAGGACCCAGGATGCAATTCCAGCAAACAGGAGATGTGCCACTCTAGCCAAACAACGATTCATCCCCAGCTTCCAGAGGTGGGTGGGCCTTGAGACCTCGCAAAGGGCCTCGGTCTCTCTTCGAACGAAGCACCGAACTCGCGGATGTTTCTCCGGTGTGTGGATTCCATCGGCGCCTTTCCACGCATCACTTCTCGATGCTCCCACTCTTCTTCTGTGGCTTCCACTGCCTCACGCGGGTCGTCGTTCGAACCATCGACGTGGTCGTCGCGGTATTGATTTGGCATGGCCGTTTTTGGACCCTTTGGACTCGAAGACCAAACACCTGGTTCGATAACCTGGTTGGTTCGGTCACGAAAAGGAACCCTCAAAAGGTCATGAACTGAAGAAGACCGTCCCAGGATGTCCCACCCTAAGAATCCTGGCCCTCAAACAGATAGGGTTTTGAGGGCCCAGACCCCTGCCATGGAGAGCCCAAGGATTCTTAGGGCAGGTGATTTTTGGGACACTTCCATGACTCCATGGAGTCGGGCCGGTTTTGGGGTGATGAGCTCGAGTTCTCAAGTCTGAGAGGACGGGTCTGGTTCATCACCGAGCCAGGAAAGACCACTTACTCGAACCACCACTTCGACTCGAAGCCGAAACAGAACGTGGCAGGATCCGTTCCGAGACGAACGTCGACCTCTTTTCATGTTTCCTTTGCTGTGCTTCAAACACCATCCCGGTTCAGCCCAGTTCAGCCCACCGAAGCCCAGGAACTCTCGGCATGTGCAAAAAACGCGTGAAACCGACCCGGTGCCGGGCCTCGGATTGGACACTGGAGCCCGTCTCCGAACAGGGCCCGATCGCCCGACCACGGGGGAGGGCCTGGTCCGGTCGCGCGTGGATCGGTGGGTCGGTAGATGGGACCGATCTGATGAAACGGTCGGTGGAGTGGCCATGGTGGCCATGGTGAATGAGTGGAGTACTTCCACATCACTTTCTAAAAAGACAACACATGGCCAGGAACTGTGCCAGATGCAACCAGCCGCCGATTCTTGAGATTTTTCCAAGTCGTCCTCTACAGCCCACTAGCTATGCCGCATACGGCTTGCTCTCATTCCTGCCGAAAGCCGGTTGAGACCTACCCACCTCAAGCACCTGGTTTCCCATCTCCCTATAGAAGTCCAGTGAACAAACGCTCCTTTTCCCTGAAGTCTTCAGAAAGTTCCAGTCTTAGGGTCCTCACTCGGGTCCACCGTTCCGTGGTCGGTCGATGGGACGGTCCCCCGCCTCGGATCCCAACAACAATCCGTCCGCACGCAGCGCCCTGTCGGCCCCTGACAGAGAAGCCATCTCTGTCCGGTGGGCGCCCCTGAGGACTCGGACGGTTTCCCGCAAGTGACTCTTGTTGGACTTCTGTGGGAAGGCCTCAAGGCTGCGAAGCTGAATCCGGCCACAAAAAGTCACTGGAGCACATCGAATGGAAGCATTTGTCAATTCGTGTAAAGTCATGTCTCTGCTTGCGTGAGTTTGCTGCACTGTTTGATTGGGAAGCTATTTGTCAGTGAGTGCTCTACGTATAGCTATATAAATACATATCATATAGTTTCATTGCCTAATATCCAGAAATGATCAGGTTCGTCAATAGTTGCAATTGCCCACTGTAGGGGTGGTTAGTGACCTGTCAGGGCCAGCAGCAATTGTGAGACACCCCTGTTTCCAGGGGCCCTGGTAGACTCATAGATGGGGTATCTCCTCAACAATGGCTGACGATGATAAGTATATAAAGGTTTTTTTTCCCGAACTGTTCCTGGTTTTGGGACACACCCGACACACCGGTCGACCTTCATTCGGTCACTTCTCTTCGCACTTCGGTCACTTCCTTTCTGCTGATCTTCACGACACGCTCCGTCGATGTTCACGAGTCGCGAGTCGCGACTGCGTCGCGAGTCCACTGTGACCTGTCGTTCGTTACCCTGTCCGATGGGCCGACACTTCTGCCGCGTTTGGGGGGAACACCAAAGCGGTGTGTTGGGGGATTGACACCATGGTTTTGGACTGGGGGCGGGTGCCAGGAGGGTCCAGTCATACCTTCTAAGGAGTTACTTCGGGGCCCCAGGCAAACCAAACATCCCAAGATCCCTTGGTCCCAAGACTTCGCAGTTTGTTGGCTCCACCCTGCTGACTGAAGCCTGGTCTGATAAGTGTCTGAAGCCTGGTTGTGTTTGGAGAAACCACAGAAGCCAAGCTGATGACATGCGGCACAGTAGATCCATGTAGATCCAAATCCTTGGAATTCCAGTTGATGAGGATGATGGCTTAGTTTTGTTGCACTACACTGGACCCCTGAGGCCCAATTGATAAACCCAGGACAGGCAGTTGAACACCCACATGTTGTTCTTGAAGTCAGAATAAGTTGGCGCAACTATTAAACTGCCCGATTCTGCTCTTCCCTGAGGTCTATCTTAGCAGCACTGCTCTTCTGACCGAATAAAACCTATCTGCTGCAAGGTAACTTTTTCAAACATTCACCCGACGCATGATCACGCGAAGAGCTGTGGTGCTCCATCACGCCCCAATTGTCCAATTCATGCATCCCATTGCAAAACATTGTAAAACCAATGCATGTCCACTGAAAAAAAGCTGTTAAACAAAAAACACATATATAATTATGTACAACAAAAAACAATGCAGGTCCACTGGATAAATATTGAACAATCGCTTTATACTTGAACAATGACAACACAAAGTCCAAACCCGTTGAGTCCAAACCCCTCTTCCCAGCCCTGCACTGCTGCCCGCCTGCTGCGGCAGGGCAGGGCGCCGCTTCCGGGCGCCGGGCCCTGGTGCCTTCCGCGGGCTGCGCTCCTGGTGTGGACGCTGCGAAGCCGGAGAGCTTCGGAGGATACAAATGCTTCGTGAGACCATCATCCTTTGGTGGTTTTCACACTACCGTTCACCATCAAAAACTGCAGGATTTCTGTTGACATGTCTCATTGTTTCTCCGAAGGTCGAAGGCCTGTGAATACGCTCAGTGTTTGCCATGGAAAACGTCTAGTGTTTTTTTCTGCTCGCAAATGCAATGACCGCCAATAATACTTCCAAATGGGTGCAAACATGTATATACTATGATATTCTTCTTGGCTGAATTTTGTCTTATTTGTTTTTGGGTTGGCTGCGGCACGAAGGTTCATTCTACTTTGTAGGATCATGAATGAAATGTAAGCAGGCCAGTCCCATGGATGGTCTGGGCACCGGACTTGTGGATCTGGAACGCCAAACTAAACGGTTTGAAAGAAACACGGTTCTTGGGACCGCGTGCAAAAAAACAAATCATTTCCAATTGAGGTGTGGCAAATTGGATTACTACAAGCACGTGGCGAACTTACTTTGTCCGAAGCCGTAGTCCTACAACAAGTTGCGGGAACACAGACCCATTCCTACCCCAGCTCAGCATAGTCGCCCCCTAAAAAGAAACACCTGCGCCTTCACCCTCAGGTGGTTTACAACAAAAGGTCTGCGTTGGAATGGCACTTCCCTCCTCGAAATTTCACCCTCGGGTGGCTCACAAAAAGGTCTGCTACCTTAGAAGTGCACCTTCCTCTGCTAAATGCCCTCTGATTCTTTCCTTCCTTCCTTCCTTCCTCCCTCCCTCCTTCCTTCCCCCTTCCTTCATTCCTTCCGTCCGTCCTTCCTTCCACCCAAAAGCTCTGCTACCTTGGAATGGCACCCTTTTCCTCTAAATTTTACCCTCGGCTGGCTCGCATAAGGTCTCCTACCTTGGAATAGCACCTTCCTCTTCTAAATTATACCCTCTGGTGGCTCACAAAAGGTCATGGCACCTTCCTCCTCTAAATTCTACCCTCTGCTTCCTTCCTTCCTTCCTTCCTTCCCTCCCTCCCTCCTTCCCTCCTTCCCCCTGACCTTTAAATACAAAAAAGTCACTAAATTTTAAAATAAATCATACAAAAATATACCTCCCTTCCAAATAGGATCGGCGATTTGCCAAAGAAAACACCCCGCACAGGAGCATCGCATCTGTGACAAGAATTGGGTCTGTATCACCTGCTCCAATATGCTGCAATCCACTTGGAGAAAAGAAACATTACTACTCTTCAGTGGAGCGCATGTCATCATATGGGTGTAGCTCAAATAGGGAGACCGAACCGCCGGCGGGCAACGACCCCCTGGGAAGGTTCGGACAATAGATGAGTCGTCCCTGCCCAGTCTACCCAGCCAGGGCCAAAGATTCTCCCTATTAAAATGCTATACAAACCAGCCGCCCGACAATGTCCAACTGCCTGAAGCATCCCATCCCAAAAAACACGTTTGGCCAGCGAATTTCGGTGTCCAGCCATAGAGATTGGGTAGTTTGGGCGTCTTCGGAGACTTGGTAGAACATTGTGGAAGCGATTTCGGAAGACTTTGGCAATCCTTTGGAACCCAGGACCTTAGACACAGTTCGACGATCGGCACCACCAGGAGATTCTTGAACAAAAGGGTCACTGAGTCAATTCATTCGACTTAATACTCTTGGATCTTTTGCACATGCGCATGGTGATGTGCCACTGTGTAGCTACCTCGACCCGACTTCGTTCGTACCTTAGAAAATGGGACGTGACCCTAAGTCAAACAGGTACGACTGTACCCATTTTCTCAAGTACGAACTGAGACTCCAGGTTCTTTGTTTTACATGTTTGCAGAACTCATCGCCAATGCCATGTCCTGAATGGATGTGCTGGGCCAAAGACCCTTGAGATAGGGAACTTCAGTCACCCCTTCAGGTGTCCATTCATAGGGGTGTCCTACCTGATACTTATGGCCTGACATGGCCTGGCACCAAACAAAAACACATGTCCGGTTGCCGAAAAAAGACCAGCAAAAACAACTATATATTTCCAGGAGGTCATGGTCAAATATCGGACACTGTCCACGGATCAGAGGTGTAACACCCTTCGGTCGAGCCTTTTCTCCTTGCTGCACTGTCCATTCTGTTATAGGATCCAAGAGAGGTTGAACAGCCTTAGGGCGCCCATCCCATATGTACCACTACAGGGTCCTATATGGCCTCTCAACCTCTCTTGGATATGGATATTCCCATCCTCCCACTGTCCATTCTGCTCCTCCGTGCTCGGCCGCCCCAGCTTCTCTGGGGTGCACCTCAGCCGTGCGTCGGTCACCAGAAGAACGTAAGCTGATCGTGACTGACGTGGTGCCATCGTTTTCCAGTGTGGCCACAGAGTTTTGGGTGGTTTATATATACCTTGAGTCTCCAAAGACCTTTTTTTTCTGCGTTTTTGTTTTTGGTCTAATATTTTTGCGTTTTTGCTCGAAAAACGCGTTTTTAGAGATGAGGACTCAAAAAAAGGTGCAGAGTGAATCTTCATCCGGACGCGTCCGGCACGGACGCTTAAAGACGCCTTTTGGACGCAAAAAGACGCGTTTTGGACGCCGAAAAAAGGTCTCAGGACACTGTCTAAGGAGGATCTGACAGGGCACAAACAAAAAAGGAACATTTCGTGACATATGCAAAAAAGAGTGCTTTCTTTCAAAAACCTCTTTTTCTTGGAAAGGCAAATTTAAAAGGGTCATTGGAGACTCAAGGTATATATACAGATATATACAGTAGATGTTTGTAAACACCCCTGACTATGTCGTTTCCTTGGCATAACCACCCGAAATCCATGGTGCTGGTCCTTTAGACGTGCAATGAGTCCGACAATCTGTTGCCCCGGTCAGCAACTTGGACTCCCAGGGTAACCGAGGCGGACACCAAGGCCGGCACTGGAGCCCGGCGCCCCTCTTCTCAGTGTCGCCGCGCCGGCGACCGTTGGCCACCTGAATTGTTGAAAACTAAAAAAAACATGTCAAAAAAAAGAGATGGCCTCCAACCTCCTAGCGATGGCTTCCAACCTAACAGCAAACATGATGGAGTGGCAACAAATTTGGTGGCCCTCGTGGCAACATGTGGCAACTGATGCTTGGGCAGATAGCTCCTTGGAGGGTATTGGTTAGAATAAGTTTTGGGACTTCTGGCTTCTTAGCAACGAGATTCGCTACAAGCACTTCTCGCCATGCGTGCTAAACCTGGCACTCACATTCGCCCAGGCCACAGCTCCGTTGGTCCTTTGGCATCGTCAAGAACCCGTGGGACTATGTTGGAACTGGATGAAATCCTTCCCAGAAACCGGGAAAAAAGTCCGTCGATCATATCAATGGTCCACCTATGGGAGAAAATAAGCTGAGTACAAAACGAGTATCAAAACGCATCATCCCTATTAGACTCAACCCAAGAACCGGGACCCCAAAAATCACACCCCCAAAACCGCCCAAACCGATCAACTCATCGCGCCCCATCGCGCCATCGTGACGTGGACTTGTCGCCCAAACCGAACTCGTCGCCTGATCGTCTCGCGGCAAAAGGAAGGAGAAGTCCTGGAGGAGGCGAGTCCAGGACTTTCAGCGCCGCTGTTGTTTCGAAGAGGAAAACAAAAGAAACACATTGTTGCGGGCGACGTCCATGGAGGGGTCCCATGGGGAGCGACCTCAAGTCTGGACTGGAAGACTATTAAACACATATATATATATATATGTGTGATACACAAATGGTTGACCTGGTAAAAGTGGGTGAGTGAGTGAGTGATTCGACTCACAGCAGTAGCTGTGGTCATTAGAACAACCTCCACCAGCAGATCTCAGAGCTGACACTTAAGGAAAACACGGCTTGTTGGGTATTCAGGCTATTCAATCAATGGTCGGCTACGAATCCTAGGGATGTAATGTGCCGGATCTTTGCGAAATGGCGGCATCTAAGTCTATACTGTAGAGTCTTGACTGATAACATCCCACCCATTCTACATATCACACATGCAACTCCAGGCCGAAGTTTCTCTGCAGGTGACCTGTCATACGCGCCATTCCAACCCTCTCTGTCTCTAGAACACCCCCTTTAAAAATATATATATATAGCTAACGCATGCTAAAGTACAATTGAAATGCACTCCTCAAGAAACTGCAAAAATGCACATGCCGTTAGTATCTTTCCATCTCTTGAGTTCATAGATCCATCTCTATTAACCAGTTATCCACCTCGCTGTTCCTCGCCCCCACGCCTTAGGTCCAGCCACTGCGCTTCGTGCGAACTTGGCATTCAGCCCCGAGCGAGAGTCCTGGCGCGTGGCGGTCTCACGCCGCCCCCATGGACACGAACAAGGGTGGATGGCTCAAATGGATTGGATGCCCACAGCAAACTGTTTGGAACATGCAACATCTATAACCCAGACACTCCATGTATGGCAATATTTATACATTGACCCCCTGGCACCACCCCAACTCATCGGCATATATGGCATACAGGGAGCGTCTGGGTAATGTTGTATGGGAAGGCAGAAATTGGATGAAATTGGTCACAGTGGGAAGATCCAGGTATGTATCCATACACACCCATAATATGAGTGGGAGACTGCTTCGCCGGATGAGAGGAACTTCCCACCCTCAGCAGTTCTCACCCCCAGGCAGCGCTAGACTGTGGGCGGAGATAGGGTGCAAAAAGAGAGAACAAAAACAAGCAGTGATAGAGAATCAGCAGTGACAGAAAGGGCGGACACATCTTAAGAAAGAATTGAGAACCCCGTAACAGTAAACTCTTTGGGGAAAAAACAATCCAAAAACATTCCAAAACACCTCTTTCAGCGTTTCGATGGGTTTCCCCAAAGAGTTTACTGTTAGGAATAGACGTCGACGTACTTCGTGGACATCGCTCCGGAGTTCCAACGGTCACCGAGAGGTCTCCGTCCCGCTGCCTTTCCCCGTTTTGGGGCTCAACGGATCCACCTTACCGACCCATGCTCCGTGGTACGACTGGAGCCAGGTGCATGTGTGCTGCGTGCCTCCAACTTGAAGCGAATTACACCAGGAAAATGCAAATATACCCTGAGATACCCTATATATATAGGCATGAGTCTGAACGCCGGGATATGCCTTCCAATCTGGCATTGTGAGGGTGAATGAAAACACATCGGCCAGGAGCATACCTACATAATGCCTTCCCCTGCTTCCAAGAAAGGTATTGCGGGCGATTCACAGGCGATTCACAGGCCCCATGCAGCTGAAAGCTGTCAGCATGACTAGACCGCACAATTTGGCGGTTCTGCAGGATGGAGATGATCATGTGTCCTTCTTGGGAAACATGCGTTGTCCAGAACGTGCTTGATTGATAGCAGGAAGCGTGGAGGTCTCCCTTCGTGGAGGTGGTAAAGTTGGTGCATCTCTTCGCTGAGCAATCCAAAAGGCCATGAACGGCCAACAAAAACACACATTGACATGAGAGGACGCGCGTATAAGAGCGCACTTCGGAGTGGTACCAAAGATACATTAACACTATACGACGGTCCAGTAATTGCAATGTCGGCCTAGAGCAAGAACGACCTCATAAACCTGCAATGGCCCTAGCAAGCGGAAAGGCAAAGAGTCAGACACCATCTGGTCTATCTTCACCGAGTGAAAATCTGCAGCTTTCACACGTCCATGAACCCTTCCACCGAACTTCCAAGAGCTTCGTTGGGCAACGTAGGGTCAGAACGGTCCTTGTCCCGATGCGGAGGAATTTTGTCGTGAATTAGAGGGAAACAGAAAACCGAGATTTCAACCACTGCAACACACCCAACCCAGTACTTTTGATCATCACTGATTAAGTATATCCAGCCGCTTGGAAAACAGTTTATATACATCTCATCAGTCTATATATACATGTCTAATTACACATTTTCCTCGGTGAACTATAACGGAACCTTCCCGAAATCAGGTACCCAAGCTACTAGTTCGAAGCTATATACGTAACAAGAAGCTCGTCAGACTAGACCATCTGGAGATCAAGTAAGACTAAGACATCAAGTAAGATCGAGGGGATCATACCCATCAAGTAAGACTGACTTGATTGTCTTCTGCTGCTCTGAACATCTCTTCGCTGCTCCTCGACCGAGGCCACCGGAGCCTTGGCTCGAAAAGAAAGCTGATTCGAGCTATGGAGCGCGATGAAAGGTGGTCTGACATGAAGATCAGAAGAAACAAAAAGGGACTCAAAAACCCGTACATCCGAAATGAAGGTGGTTGGGGTGGGTGCCAGGGGAATCTAAGTATACCTTCGAAAGGATGTGGGACAGGAGCTCTAGGGATGGTAAAACAGTTGGAAGATGAGGTGAAATCTATAGGCGGAAAATGGGTACAAGATGGTACAAGTACCTCTCAAAAAACCAAGGGTCCGAGTCCCATTTCCAAAGGCACGAACGAAGTGGGGTGGTTGCAATATGACCAGTTTCAACTGACTCTTTAAATAGAAACTGGTCCTGGTCTTTAAATCTTTTTCGGGTTGGTCGCTGTGGAATTGCTCGCGACCCATTCGGAGCATCGACCACGACCCGACCTAAGGAGCATCTGTTGGTGTGGCTCCAATGGACGCCATGAGAAGTCTGCCGATGGATCAAAGGGTCGTCCGTTCGCCTTCCACCGGAAGAACACCGGAGCCAAGTTCGCATCTTGGATGCGTCAATTTGCTCCGGTCAAGGAACGTGGCATGAAGAACCCACAGTTCAGCTACTAGAGTGTGTAAATTAATATATAGATTTCTATGCATATCTATGCTAAGAATCATCTGTTTTCCCAATAACTCTCAGCAACCAAATCCACTGTGTAGACTCGTCGTCCCGCAACTGCTCCCGGGTCCGAAAAGGTCCGGGTCCGTCGCGTCGACTCGTCGTCCGACGGGTCGGTGCCTCGCGATAGGAAGCATCGTCCAAAGCTGGTCGAAGATCCTGAGGTGACGGGGATGGTGCGACCAAAAAGCGTATGCCATGCAGCTGCCATGCCAGACATGGTCACTTTGGGAAAAGACATGGAACATATCAATTGTTGATCATGTTGATTATCCAGGATAGACCTTTTTTTTCACATGATCCAGGATCCGATCTATTTATATATAAGAGAGGACATGAAAGGACGATCACAACAGAGCTGTGCTCGATCACAGAGCTGACTCTCTCAGTTCAAATACCAGGTGAGTGAACGCCCTTTTCCACCTGGCTTTGAGTGGGAAGAACACCTGGGTTTGGCTCAAGGGCTTGAGTGATACCCTTTTCCACCTGGGTTTGGGTATGAACAAAAACACTCCACCAAAAAGTTCCATGGTGATCCAGGTACCTCCTGGGTAGGCTTCGGCTTCAGTGCTTCCTCCTGCACCGGTGCCCCGCTGCCTCGGTGTCGTTCTCCTCCTCCGACTCGACCAAGTCCGCCCAGCGCGGCCTGGCTTCGAAGGTGGTGCATCTGCAGCGGTTCCGAAGTCGTTTTGCAAGAGACCAGCATCATCTTCCAGCATCTCCCAAGAAGTGATCTACAAATCCCAAGTGTCAGCCAGTTCCCAGGGTTTGCAAGGATTCCCATGGTGTTGAAATGTCCAATGTGCATCAAAGTTGTAAATATGTACCTGGACCCTCCAGTTCGTACCTTCGGAAAATGGGACATGACCCTAAGTCAAACAGGCACGACATGGTACGACATGGTACGACTGTATATACCCATGTTCTGAAGTACGAACGGGTCGACTCCACCTCCTCCCCTTAGGTCTCTTCAATTCCACGGCAGCGCCCGCGAAGCTTCCGCGCGCGCGCCTGGACTCCGGCGGCGGCACCATCGCCTGGGCATCGCGACCACGGAGCTTGGAAGCCCTGGTGAAGCAACGTTTCCACCGATAACCTGGTTCTTCAAAGTGACCTTTTGATATCCCGGTTTGAGGTCACTTGGGTCTGTAAAAGGTCACTTAGGAACTCCAAAGAGGTCACTTTCAAGAATCTGGAATAGCTGTTAATTGAGTGGGGTTCAGTGGCAATAACATGCAACTCAACCCCTTTTCCTGGGTCAGTTTTGGTGGAGCTGTTTGTGAGTGGAGGCTCCCCACCACTGGCGTTGGGACGAAGGCGGAGATGTTGAAGATTGGATTGAAGGATTCGCGGGAGAAAGGTCAACTCTCCGGATCACGTGGCCAGGTCCGCACCACCAGAGAGAGGGCGAGCGTGTGAGTTCAGGGACTAGGGACGGGTTGGATGTGGCCATCGATCTTGGACTTCTTGGCTTTGCGTTCGTAGCTTCTTGCTTCTATAGTAGTAAGGTGCCTTGTTACATTCGTAGCTTCTTGCTATACTAGTCCCATACACTCCATGTATGGAATATATGCCTACATTGACCCCCCAAACCACCCCAACTGATCAGCAGTCCCATGGAGCGTCTGGGAGTAGTAATGCCAGGAGCGCGTTCGTTCGTCTTCGTCGTTTCTTGGCGTCGCAGCTCGCAGGAACCGGGAAACCTCCTCTTCTGTCAGGCCGGATTCGCCGGGAAGAGGAACAGGGCACCCAAAACCACCAGAAACGGTCCCGGTTCCAAGTTCTGGCACCAGCTTGGAGATCCTTTAGCCTTCCCAAACACTCCATGGGACTGCCATCTTTGCCGCCCCATTGGCCTTTGGAAATGGCTGGGACCGGGGAAACCGCCATTTCTGGGCCATTCCCGGCACCAACATCACCCGATCCAATCGCGAACCAACCTGGAGCATGGAAGGAATGTGGAGCGTTTCTAGTCGTTTCTCCACATGGACACGCGCTGTGAGACCGGTGGTCCGGGAGACTTGGGTTTGACATGAGGTTCTTCATTAGGGATCCACTGCCACCTTCTCAGAAGGTACGACTGGACCCTCCGAGCCTACATAGCTAGTCTCCAACCACCTTCTCAGAGGGTATGTGGATCCATATGGACTTGTTTGTGAAAGACATGTCAAGAATCCTTGCTTCGTTCGGCACCCGACCATTGCAGCCTTAGTTCGACACCCTAGAATATCTAAAATTGCATTGGAGACTCCTGTGTGATCGACACTCAAACGAAGAGGCGCCTGAAGACCGTGCAGCAATCCACGTTGGACCCTTCAGTGACCTACGGAGTCTGGAACTTGCTTCTTGACTTGACCTTTTGAAACATGTGCTAGCTGGTGTGCTCATAGCTTCAAAGCTTCAGTTCAGTGTACGGCAAAAATGCTGCAGCATGTTGCAGCAACTCTTGTTGGTTGGTTCCTTGTCAGAGGTTTCATCACTGGAGACTTTCCAGCTCTGTATGCTGCTGAAGTCGGCATCTGTCATGCTCGACGCCGCTGATGATCCAAGACATTCCCCCTCCATCTGTTGAGGCAGGGATTCTCTCCTTCTCTCGTATAAGTGTTTGAAAGACGCATCTCCAAGAAGTCTACTGCAAAAACATGCAAAATACGTGTCTGTTCATGGTGTCCATTTCCACCATGTTCTTTCTTTGGATCCAGGATCCTTCTTCCTCCTTTTCAGTCACCTGAGCCCTTTTCCGGGACGAGACGGCGCGGCATTGGACGAACCGCCGGCGCGACTTGCTGGGACGGTGGATGACGGTGGGCATTGGGCCAGTCCCGAAGCGGTGAAGTTCCAAGTTCGATCGGCATGAGCAGCATGTGAATGTGGCACCCCGAGAGGGTTTCCTCCCTCCCAGTTCGGCATGTGACAGGTCTGACGTGATGGAGGCATATCATAATTACATTTAATTACTGTACACGATTGTTTTTTGTTCCATACTTAAGAGCCGTGTGCTGGACGGTGAGGGACCCTGAAACATGTTCCGGACAAAAGACACTTTGACCTGTCGTGGGTGGTGACCTATTGCAGAGTCCTGGATGAATGTTGGGGTTCTCATGCTTTCTTTCGACCTCCACGAACGAACGAAGACATCACATGGTTACGTGGATGAGAGGTACATGTTCGTTACTAGTAGCGATGCCAGGAGCTACTAGTAGCTTCTTGTTACTATAGTAGCCATGCCATCCACTTCCAAATCGATTTTCGATGGAAAACGACTGTCCAAATACCTCACAAGGTGTTTCCACTGGCCCAATGTTCGTTCCACAAAGAGTCTCCTGGTCAAACCCCCGCTAGCCAGCCTAGCCGGCCGGGCCGCCCTTCCTGAGTCCCCCACATGGAAGACTCCATGACGGTCCACTACCAGGCCGGTCAAGTGGGTCATGACTGGACACTCAGGAAGAGTCTATGGCTTTTGTGGAACGACTGCGATCCACACAAATCGGATCCCCTCGCACCGAAGCTGGAGTGTCCATCCCCTGAGTCAAGGACACCACGGCCTGGCCTCATGTAGACTGTAGAACTCTTGATTCATAGCCTTTTCTAATGTTTTAGAATGTTTGCAAGGTTTTGTAGGATCAAGAGTCTGCACTAGATGCTAGTTCATTGAGCGAATGGAATCCTTGTGATAGTCCTCCCTCCTTCCTCCGTTGCTTCCATGTCACTGATAGGTGCTTTTCTACTTTTATCATTGTTTATCATCTTTTATCCCATGAAACAGGATCTGCTTGATGGTAGAGAACCACCTGAAACCTCGGGTGTTTTGGCTTCCCAGTACGGGATCAACCATGTCAAATCTTTAAAAAGGAAGGTATGATGGATCAGAACCGTGCATTGCCGGAGCTCACAAGAAGCTCCCAAAACCGCGCCGCGAGACAAACGAGCGTTCTTTGTTTTTCGACTTGGCAGGCGTTGGCCTCGAGCAAAGGTTCCGCACGCCACTTCATGAGCAAACGAGCAAATCGGATCAAATCTGAGTGGTAGTCGTACAGCTCACAGGTGGTGGTATTGAATGGTGAAGAAATGCCCAGGATGGATGTTACATGAAGCAGAAACACCCCCAAATCACTGAAAGACCTCAGAAATAGGTCGACCTGCAGCAAATGCGTCGGGTCTTGAGAAAAGCACCGGTTTTCCACCACCCTCCACTGGTGGTAGCGATGGAAGCCTCAACCTACAGTCGCGATGGCCTCCAACTGACAAGCCTTCCTGGAACCGACACTTCACCGCTGACACCTGAAAAACCACCGTCTTCGGTATCCACGACAGGTATAGTATCCTCGGTCAGTGAAGGGCGCGCGGCTGGCGTGGTCTACCGAAGATGCCGAAGGGCTTGGAATCCCCGAGCAGCGGATAGAGCGAGGAACTTGGAGGTGGCGCAGCATGACTTTTACTTCCAGGGAGGCATTCCATGCGCAAAGGAAGCATGGAAGTGCGCAACCCAAAGGGGGTGGCAAACAGGAGCGACGTCTCACAACACAGGCCTTCAAGCAAATTGGAACATGTCACTGGTTCCATTTCGACCCCGACTGGTACATTCATATGAAAGGCTTCCCTTGCTCCTACCTTGGGGGTCCTACCTTGACGTTCTGGGGGGGATCTGGGGGGTGGCCACATGGCCTCCCAGGTCCTAGGCCTTTCTTCATGGTTGAACGGGCGAAGTAGGGGGTGATGGCCTGGAACTGTGTCCTTCTCGCGGCCCAAAAGTGGTTGTGGAGTTGAAACAGTCCAATGTAACAGAGTTCTGCAACCTGAGATTGGGCAGGTGCAGGCGTGGCTTAAAACGCTGGACCCTCTATAGTTATATATATATAACAAATTTTATATAATATTGTATATATCTAAGTGTATCTGGATAGAGCCCCAAAGAGGACCCCCTTGGCTCCAAATCGACTCTCTTGAAGTAGTGTTAGTCTCCAAGAAATCCACAGAATCCCGACTTCTTGAGCCCCACAACGCCATTTCGAACGCCATGAGAATGCCCAAAAACCCAGCCTGTCGAATCTATTGCTTACACTGGTTGCCATCCGGAGTCTGGAATTTCGAATCGTTGGTCATCCTTGTGTTGGCCAAGGACTTGCTATTAGGTTGGTGGCCATCGCTACTAGGTGGAGGCCATCGCTAATAGACACAAAGAGAAAAACAACAAGGAAGAAAGGGAAGAAAGGTCTATTATATTCTATATAATATAGTTGCTAGGTTGATGTGACACTCGCCCGGGATTCCACATGGACTCGGGTTCCTCCTTCCCGAATCAAGTGAAACCTTTGAACCCGGCGCAGGGCGTAGGCATACGCCTGTGCCTAAAAAAAGGTTTACTCGGCCCCTACCGCGCATATATTAAAACCTTGCCATGTAGAATGTGCTCCATCTGGGATTTGAAGCCTTAAACTCACAAGAACGTGCTAGCGGAGAGTCTCTCAAAATCCGAAGGCATGCTAAATCAGGACAGTGCACAGTTCCTGCATATTCTACAAGACCAAAGTAGATTTGTGGGTCGCTCTTGTTCACTCTAACACTTTAAGGCACCTAATAGCGATGGCCTCCCCATAGTAGCGATGGCCTCCGACCTAGTAGCGATGGCATCCAACATCATCCAACCTAAGAGCAAAAATATAGATGCACTTGTGAGGCTCTTTTCCTTATCACACGTTTACTCTTTGATGGCTCGGACTACTTCAGCGTTGACCCAACAAACTCGACTCTCGACTCCCAGATACGAACCAGGTCCGTTACATGCATCACGTCATGAACTGGAACACCGGATCATAAGACAACAGGAGAGTGCCCTGTTGTAGCGCACAGCTGGGCCCTCACCGCGAGCGAAAGACTCAGCGGCGGCCGTTTTGGCGGCGGCCCAGCGTTTTCTCACGGCAGGGACCGGGGACACGGGCGAACGGAGGCTTTGGCCGCTGAAGCACCAGCCAGTGCCGGCCCATAGTGTTAGCATGTATACTTATAGCTAGTACAGTATTTACGTACGATAAAGCAACCCGAAGCACCATGAACAAAAGACCCTTAAAAGAGCGAAAGGTTGAGCTGAGGGGGTTGAGCTTAGGGGGTTAAGGCTTGTCTAAAATTCTTAAAACCCCATGGTTCTGCGGTTCACGGCAAAAACAATGGTTGGAATCCGGAGTACATCGATTAACGATGCTTGCTCGGAGAACGAACAAGTGTTCCGTGTTCATAGTCCGCCAATGAAGGCCAATGCTGGTGCAAGTTGAAAAGTAGTGTGTGCATCTCCAAACAAGTCTTGACAAACATAAGCCCGTCGCACTAAGTTTTCGAGACACTCCGGACTTTCTCACTTGTCGTCTGTTCCCTTGCAGCGAAGAAACCACAAAAAAGAGTCAAAGAAAATCAAAAAAACAACGGTTCATGCTGGGTTTTCCATGTTTCTCTTCACCAAGACTTGTGGTCTGTATCTTGACGAAAGGCCAGGCAAGGGAGCTGTTCCAACCCCCATTCCAACCACCTCTGACTTCAACATGCTTACCAAACACCCGCATTGCGTTGACAATAATCGAAAACCCCACGGAACGGTTCAACCGGAAGGCGCACCAATGGTCTCTTGTTCAGTCATGCAACGGTCAAGCGGCATTCGCACCGGCGAAAGGCGGTGCTTCCAATGCGGCGGTTGGTTGCCCCAAATTCGCCACGTCGGCAAGATGGTCAGAATTCAACCTCGAATGGTGGAGGTTGCGTGAGCAAAAAAGATCATGGGACATCAGGAGAGACTGAAAGAAATTGAGCATCATCGAACCATCATCCAGCAGTCACATGTCGGGGTGCGATCCATGGAGGTTCGGAGTGCCCCTGTCACATCCACTCACTGGATGGGACCAAACACCACCCCGAGCTCTGTGACTGCTGGATCCTTTGTTTTATTGAACAAAAACTAAAAGTAACTGTTCCGAACCGATGAGTTTGAACACCAATTGGTGTAGACCTGACCACAAATACGCCCAGCTCAACTGAACGCACATGTCGTGTTTGGCCGTTTGGAGCACCGTAGCATTTCTATCCAATCGCTATAGGCCTCCAGTCGTACTATACGAAGGGTATGACTGGACATGACTCGACCCTCCAAATCCACCCAAACCCGTCCCACCGAAACGAACCTATCACAAAAACAACCGGCCGGGTTGAAAACTGACTTGATAACTGTATTTATCTGGAGGACGGATTGTTCCACCATGTGTTTTGAACACGTTTGCATACCAGAATCTTCGTTTAAGACTGGAATTCCAGGAATCGAGAAATTTGGACTGGCGCGGCGCGTGAACCGATTGTTAATTGCCCCCCCAACCCCAACCCACATACAAGGCCCCACGACCCACAAGGGTACCAGGAACAACTTCTGCAGTGTGAATGGCCGCTCAATGACTACGACATGCTACGTCGCGTTTTCCAATCCGCCAAAAGCAACCACTAGCAATGACCTGCAATGACCCTTCGCTTTAAAGCCCATCCAGGCAATTTCCAAGACACCCACCCACATCACATGCCCACGCGTGCACGCCGGGTGCCACAAAGACCAAGTGGCCCATGAGGGCGTCGAATCCTCCCGGCTCCTAGCTGGGTTGGAGTTCCGTGACTCAAGACGTGCAGAAAATCGCAAGAAGGTCGAATCCCCCTGAGCCGACCGTGAGGTCGTGTCGACTGGAACATCAAAAAGGGTGGCAGATCACATCACAGCTCCATGTCGAGGCAACTCCCCATGTTCAGAGACATATCATAGGCATATGAGCATAGTACGTGGTGCACCTATGGTTTTACCTTCCCTTCGTGGCGCCGGAAACGGCGCAGCTGCTGCCGTCCTGAAACCAAATAGAAACATCGGCAACTTCGGTCAAGACGGAGACCTCACGACGGTGGCGTGTCTACCGCGGGCGAGAGCCGTCGCTGGGATTGGCAAGGTCTCCCCGAATCCGTTTAGGGTGGGTCTATGCCCTCAAGCATGCAGCATGCGACACATGATGCTTAAGAACTGAGTGACCCCCTGTGTTGGAGCCCAAATAGAATCTCTTCCGATCAAGGTCATGTCTGGGTTTACATACCTGGATCTTCCAACTATGCAAGATATGCACCTTTTGATCCAAAAGAAAATAGCTATAGAAAGCATGACCATGTTGCATCTATGTATACGATCCAGGTATGTATACCTGGATAGTCCACGACCTGTGCAACTTCTTTTTTCCAAACTTGGCGACGTGAAAATTCGATGAAAGATGATGAAAGGGCAAACATCTTTGCATACAGTACTTCCAGCTCCGGATCCTTCGTCGGACACCGACCGACCGGTCCAGGTCGGGGGTGAACGGAGCGACTCCACGGTCGGACCTGGTGATCAGAGGTGCAGGGATCTGACGTTGGACCTGTGAAAGATAGAGCAAACTGGAAAGTGGAGATCAGGATGCACACGATC